CCTAAAGTTCGCAGGCACTGCCACAAACCGCCTGATGAGACACCACACCAAATCATGAGATTGGATGCATGTCGTAGGGAGGAAAGAGGACGAGGCCGCCGAAGCCGCGCAGACCTATCGCCCCGAACTCGTTATTGTTAACGCCAAATGACGGAGGGCCTTCCTATGCTGATATTCTAAGGCAAGATCAAGGCGACCCATCTCTGAAGAATGCTGCGTGAGAACGTCGCAAAGGTGAGCGAGGGAATGCAGCCGGATTAGCCTGCTGGCTGGAGTTGCGACCGGGAAAACTGCAGCAGCCTCCGAGATATCTGAAGCTATATCAAAAACACTGGCGCGAGTTACAGAGTAAACGAACGCGAGAACGAAAACGACTTCTCGAAGATTCGCGACCTGACGAGCTGACAACGGCTGGCTGAGTCAGTGTATGAAGCTGTAAAGCAGGGACTGAAATCACCTGTTGAGCAGGCAAGTGTCATATCTGTACGGGAGGGCTTACAGAGGCACACAAACGCAGTGGTCCGTCTACCGACGGAACTAGCCAGGAGGGCATTAGGGAGGAGCGGCCTGTGTTCGCATTCGTTGGGTAAACACTGCTGCGGTTTAGATGAGAAAGTAATTGTGCGGACAGTGTTATTCGTTGTTTGGGGCGTTCGGACATCTGTGCGCGCGACTGCCAAGGGACGGGGACAGATGTCGAAAAATCCTTGTCCCGAGTTGCGGAGAAGACGGCCACTTACGTCAGGCTTGGCAAAAGCGCTAGAGGCGAGGTGTGTGCTCTGCAAAAGATAGGAGGAAAACCACCCGACAGGGAGTTTACGCTGTGCCGGCGATTTACCACAGTAGCAATGAAGGCAACGGATAACAAGAAAATGAGAGGTTCTCCAAGCTAATTTAAAATCATTTGCGGAGGCGGTCCCGGGACCTTCTCCCCAGACGTGTGCGCGAGAATGAATATAGATGTTGCATACTGCTGCGAGCATGTACAGAATAATTGTCGGTCTCAGTCCTGGTTTCGGATTGCGACTAACCGAGCTGTGATATGGATACTGTGGTTAATAGTCCAGTCCCAGGATGTTTATGCAGAAGTCCCAAGGGTTATGGATTCACCTGGGAATCAAAGGTTCGGTGTATACTTCTATAGTGTCTATGCATGCACCCAGTGCATCGCTGAGGGAGTTTCGAGGAATTACTCGATTCCGCTTAATAGATGACGCGAGAGAATGAAAGGCCTTCTTATTATTGCTGAGGTGGACTTTCAATGCATGAGGCCCACGGTAGTGGGCAGCAGAGATACGAATCGACGCCGGGTCTGACTCTCCCTGGACAGCCTTCACAGTTTGGATTGTCTTGCCTCTGCAACCGGGGGCCAGTCGACCTTTGTAAATGGAAATGAGTCGGCAGCTCGGTTTTCGTTGAACCTAACTTTCGTCTGTAAAAGCATTGCTAGACGTATTGTATTCATGGAAAGGCAGGTTTTCCTAATTAGTAATTGTGACTATTAGTGACCCTAGACGGAAAAACGCCTTTAACACTGCAAGGTGAGAGCGTCCATTCTTTCTCGCTACAAACTCTTGGAGGTTAACAACGGGTACATCTCGAACTTGGTTAAAAAGTATACTTTAAGGAGGAGGAGTCCTCCTATATTGAAGACTGTGTCTGGGAGACAATCTTATACGCGTCACAGGCGGTTGTCCAACAAGGTTTCGGTACTGCGTCCGATGCTTGTGGAACATTTATGTTGATGACGGCTAAGTGTTGAAGCTCGAGTTGCCAGACAGGCGCAGAACGATTGGATTCGCTTGACGATGTTGTTGCAATTGTCGTTGTCGGCAAATACATCGAGCCAACGTCACGCCAGGTTGCCAACAGGCTAGTGGCGAGATCGGCGGTGGCTTACGTCCGGTAGGGCTACAGATGGCCGGCCCATAAACAGAGGCTGTTGCTAGTGACGGGCCAGAAAAGTTGAAGCAGAGGAGTATTACTCTTTAATGGTAGGGAGGCTGCAAAATATCCTTCGCAGCTGATCACATGAGGTATTTGATGAGTGCATTCATTGACGCGAAACTGCGCTTTGCACGAGAGCACCTGCGCAATGTCTCCGAGAAAAGCATCTCGTATGGGCATCGCGCATTGGCACTCATTATGCCTAATGTCAGGGGGGGTCCTGCGGCAAGATAGAAGCCGGAGGCTGCTGACTAGCGTTAGTAAATTCCAATTCTTCTCTACGCAGCACTGTTTTGGGCTGATGCCATGGCATTCAGTCATACGCCCGTGGGGTAAGTCGGTGCATAAGAAGGTCCGCCTTGCGGGTTGCTCGAGCGTTTCGCACCGTATCTATGATGGCCTGTGTGTGTGTTGTTAGCAGATATGCCTCCGATGGGACCCTCATTGCGCAGGAGAGACTAGACTCTATTTGCGCAAGCGGGGAGGGGCCCTCGAAACTGGCGATACCATTACGAAGAGAGAGGGGGGCTGACATTGCGACCAATTGTTGGACCAGTGTTTGTCGTGTGGACTGTGTGTGTGTGACTGTGTGTGTGTGATGACTTTGTGTGGTGTTGTGGACTTTCATGTGTGTGTGTGGCACTGGTTTGTGTGTGTTGTGACTGTGGTGGTGTGTGGGACTGTGTGTGTGTGTGGACTGTGTGTGTGTGTGACTGTGTGATGTGGTTGGTGACTGTGCGTGTGGTGTGACTGTGTGTGTGTGTGTGACTGTGATGTGTGTGTAGTGACTGTGTGGTTTGTGTGTGACTGGGTGTGTGTAGTGTGTGACTGTGTGTGTGTGTGAACTGTGTGTGTGTGATTGTAGTGACTGTGTGTGTGTGTTGTGGACTGTGATGTGTTGTGTGGACTGGTGTGTGTGTGGACTGTGTGGGGTGTGACTGTGTGTTCTGTGTGTGAGCTGCTGTGGTGTGTGTGTGACTGTGTGTGTGTGTTGTGCTGACTAGTGTGTGATGTGTGTGATGATGTGTGTGTGTTGTGACTTGGGTGTGTGCTGATGTGTGGAGACCTGTGTGTGTGAGGACTGAGTTTGTGTGTTTGTTTGACTGATGTGTAGTGTGTGACTGTGTGTGTGTGTGACTGTGAGTGTGTGTGAACTGTGTGTGTGTTTGACTGTGTGTGCTGTGACTGTGTGGTGTGTGACTGTGTGTGTGTGTGGTGTGACTGTGTGGTGTTGACTGTGTGGTGGTGTGACTGTGGGTGTGTTGTGACTGTGTGGTTGTGTGGACTGTGTGTGTGTGTTGACTGTGTGTGTGACTGTTTGTGGTGCTGTGATACTGTGTGTGTGACGTGTGATGTGTGACTTGTGTGTGTGCCTGTGTGATGTGTGACTGTTGGTTGTGGTGTGACTGTGTGTCTTATGTGGACTGTGTGTTGTGTGACTGGTGTGTGTGTGACTGTGTGTGTGTGGACTTGTGTGTGTGTGACTGTGTGTGTGTTAGACTCGTGTGTCTGTGTGACTGGAATTGTGGTGACTGTGCTGTGTGTTGACTGTGTGTGTTGTGGACTGGTGTGTGTGAACTGTGTGTGTGTTGACTGTTGTGTGTGGGACTGTGTTGTGTTGACGTCAGTTGTGTGGACTGTGTGTTGTTTGTGCTGTGAGGTGTGTGGACTGTGATGTGTGTGACTGTTGTGTGAATGATGACTTGTGTGTGTATTGGACTGTCATGTTGTATGTGACTGTGTGGTGTATGGACTGGTGGTGTGTATGGACTGTGTGGTTGACTGTGTGTGTGTGTGGACTGGTGTGGTTGACTGTTGTGTGTGTACTGTGTTGTGTGTGACTTGTGATGTGTGTGATTGTGTATTGTGTTGTGTGTGTGGGACTGTTGTGTGTGTGGACTGTGTGAGTGTGACTGTGTGTGTGGTTGACTGTGTGTGTGGACTGTGTGTGTGACTGTGACTGTTGTGTGTGTGTGTGACTGTGTGTTGTGTGAGCTGTGGTGTCTGTTGACTGTTGTGATGTGACTGTGTGTGTTGTGTGAGACTGTGTGTGTGTGAGGACTGTGTTGTGTGTGTTGAGACTGTGTGTGTTGTGTGAGACTGTGTGTTGGTGTGTGAGGACTGTTGATTATGTGTGTGAGATGTGTATGTGTAGGAGGACTGATGTGTATTGTGAGACTGTTTTTAGTGTGTGTGAGACTGTGTGCATGTGGTGAGACTGTGTGTGTGTGAAGGACTTGTGTTGTGTTGAGGGACTGTGTGTGTGTGAGACTGTGTGTGTGTGAGATTCGTGTGTTGTTCTGTGAGGACTGTGTGTGTGTGAGACTGTGTGTGCTGTGTGAGACTGTTGTGTCTGTGGTGTCTGTTGAGGACTGTGTTGTGGTGTGTGACTGTGTGGTGTGTGACTGTGTGTGTGGACTGTGTGTGTGTGGACTGTGTGATATGACTGTGTGTGGTTGTGACTGTGTGTGTGTGACTGTCGTTGAGTGTGACTGTGTGTGTGTACTAGTGTGTGTGTGACTGGGTGTTGTGTGTGACTGTGTGTGTGACTGTGTGTGTGTGACTGGTGTGTGTGTGTGGAGTGTGTGTGTGAGTGTGTGTGCGCACGTAGCACGTATGGCACTGTGTGTGTGTGCGTTCACGTATGACTGTGTGTGTGTGAAAGGGGCGAGGATAAGACAAGGAAGGGGAAGGAAAGATGGCGCGCTGCCCATGGCCCGTTTCTTGAGGGTAATGCTCTGGCATTCATTTGGTGTTGATCGGAGAAACCACGGAAAAACTACTGATCAAAGCAGCCGCTAGAATTCGCATGCAGAGACTGAATTCGACCTAGCTCTCTATTTAGTGTCGAAAATGCTACGCCCAGAACGCGGCGCCTTCCGAACAGAAAAGTAGTTCCTGACTCCGACCGCGGAAGCCTCCGCCTTCTAGATGTTCCCGTCCGAAGCGTCGCCGGCGGGGGCGGGGGCGGGCGCCGGCGGGCACGAGTCGGGGTCGGCGTCGGGGTCGGGGTCGGCAGCGTGGCGGCGTAGGCGGCGCTGGGGCGCGCGCACCCGCCGCAGCACCACCTCGGCGGCGAGGGCGGCGGCGGCGAGCAGCGCGCCCAGGGCGAGCACGCACAGCACGGGCAGCACGGTGGCCAGCGCCACGCTGTCGCCCTGCTCGGGCCGCAGGCGCACTACGGGCGGCGGTCGCTCGCGCAGGCGCCGCACCACGCCCACGCGCGTCATCTCACGGATCCTGCAAGGGGCCCGCTCGTCAAGAAGGCTGCGATATAGTTTTATAAAGTTTTTTTTTTTTGCTTTATTAAAATACGCGCAAGTTAACATTATATTACTGATATATGTAAATGTAAACGGATGATATATTGTGATGGAGATGTAACAATTATAATATTTGCCAATTTTATAATAAAATCTATTAATTACCTATTTTGTATTATATTACTGGTATTATACATGACATGAGACAAAGAAATTGATATTTCTTCATCATTTAATTTTTCGCGGCCGATGTGTGTCCTATAGTCTTTGTCTGTGCCTTCTGTCTGCCTCCCTGACGTGTCGATGTCTGACATCTGTCTAGCGAGCCCACACACAGGATTTGAACTGAAATGAATATTCCTCAAGTGAACTGTGTGATTTTCCAGCCGCTTCAACTTGAAACATCTTTTAAAATTTGAATGCGGATAACCGTTGGACCGTTGAAATTATTTAAAAATTACTCCAAATTCGTTCTTAAAAAAACTTGCTCCAACTTGAATTAAGTACACTTATAAAATGACACAGTTTCGATTTGTAATGATATCTCCGAAATCTCGAAAATTTTCTAAGTCACTTTTCTTTAATCTACATTATAGAAGATAATGATTTTCTACTTAATGAAATTTGTTCTTCAATATGTATCTAAATATTTCCACAAACTATGCTTTGAAATTGAGTAGCTTTCACGTACTTTTGAGAGAAATATCACCAATTTAAAAAAATAGAATAGTACATTAAGCAACGATTTTATGATGTTAAGCAATATTGCCCAAGCACAAGTTTTGAAAACGAGCGTTAGGAGCAAATTCGTAAATTGAACTTTCCTGATGGTAGAGATGTCGCCACATTGAGGGCCAAGACCATAACATTATTTTCCAGCTGTCCTTTCCACCAAAGAAGAAAAATTCAAGCACATTTACTCATAGATTTCCTATTTTGATAAATCTCTTCAGAGTATTTGCACGTATAAGCCGACTCGACCGCTGGCCCCAAGGAGAACCATGATTAAATTCCTTATAAGTGTTCCGTTTCTGATCTTCGAAGTTTCACTTCTAATTTGTATGGCGGTCACACATTCTCTTTTATTAATTTCTCGTATAGGTACGAATATACGGAATACTATACGTTCTGTGGACTAATTTATGTATTGCTGTGGAAAATCGAGTTCGAGGTTTCAACGGAAATACACATATTGTAGTCCCCTGATACCGGTAAAGTATGTGTGTTTAAAACGTCCGTCCGTCCGTCCGTCCGTCCGTCCGTCCGTCCGTCCGTCCGTGAACAACACTAGCCTGAGTTTTTAAAAGTGCCTACGATGCCAAAAGATGATGTCTAATAGCAGAAGAAAATTATTCCCATATGTCTTTATAAACAGTTCCTCTGCGAGAACTTGGGATGAAACTGAGTAAACTAAAAATTTACAGGAATTTCGTTAGATGCTGCGAGTGTGACGAACACAATGAGCATTCAAAGGACAAAAATAACAATATAGCTCGAGTTATGACGTCCAATTTCGATAAAGCACGACGGAGGCCATACTCGGCCGCTGAGAATGTTATGCGATGAGTTGTTTGCGGTTTATTGCATGCAGTTTCCCATCAAAACAAACATTGCTTTGAAATCCCGACCATTACTCACAGTAGCCAAATAAGGAGCGCTTCCCATTTCTGGTGATTGCGTGATGTGCTTCGTTTCATTCTATTCGTTGCAATCTGACATTAAATGACGTAATCAACACGTATTCACTAGGTCGTTCGACGCCTGACTGGAGAAGGATGGAAACAAGTGTCCATGTATGTGAACCTGCCTAACATGGAAGTAAGGAATTAGTTTCGAGCAGGCCTCGAGTCCAATTGTAAAAAAGCTATTTTACCTCCGTTTCTGAATCGAAGAATGGAAACAGTTTCCGAACTGGTACTCTTGACTCGAGGGAATTTAAGAAATAATTATATAATTTGTGGGTTTAGACCGTACAAGGTAATTGGACTCAAAATAGTGAGTAGTATTTTAAAAGAGTACGAACTGTTCTTATGATACTATAATGTTTGGTTCCTTCTATCTGCACTGTGATATCTCAAATTATGACAAAAAATTGACCAAGTTTCTCGAATGTGATCTGATGAATATTGATCAAGTAGATAAGGTGATGAAAATCGATTAATCGAATTGGAAGTCAAAGTGGTCGATCAGAAAAGTAGATAAACTTAACCATTTGAGGTCGCTGATAATGATCTCAAAAGAGATGTTCAAGTGAACGATCTTAATAAATGCGTTCAAATGTACTAGGTGAAGAAATTCAATTACGTGGAAGCTCTGATTAAAGTCGATCAAGTGGATGTTGTAAAGAATATTTAACACGCGGGGGATATGAAGAAAGCCAACTAAGCCTATAATATGAAAAAAAGTCGTTCAAGCGGTTGATTTGAAAAAGTCCATCTGATGACAAAGTTGAATCAATTCATTTTGAGAAATTTTTGACAAAATTTTGAAAATATTGACGATTTTTGTACGGTTCCGCCCAATAATACAAATATCCGTTTGAAACTAGTAGGCTTTCGAGTTCGTTCAGATCGATTGGAGAATTTCAGTTTTGGCGAAAATCGTTTGAACTGTTTAGACACTAGCGTTGACGGCAGACCTGCGTACATGCGTTTTCCGTCATTAGATTTTGTGGTGCAGCACCCACAAACTATGGATTCCAAGCTTTTTTTTTCAACCGAAATCGTAGATTTCATTACTTGTTTATTGTTGTGATTCGTTCCATTTCATCAAATGCGTTGCCTTCTTCCACTAATCTTTAGATGTATAAGTTGTGACAAATAACGCCCAATTTTAAACGGGAGATTTCATTCAAATAATCTTACACGCCTATAAGTGTTTTTACTAATCATAGAATCATTTGATATAATAACCATTTGAATAAATATTCCAGAAATAATCATTGGGAACTTTTTTCAAAAATTGTGATAAACAATTATTAAAAGCGTGATAAACAATTATTAAAAGTGTGATAAACAATTAAATTGTGATAAACATATATTTTTAATAATAATTAATTTGTATTAAACCCCAACATAACACCCAAATAAATTTGTTCCATAAAAATCCACTAAAGACACCAACCCAAAAAATCTCAGGAGAAAACCCCTAACCTGGCAACATTGTTGCACGCTTGCTAGACATAGAAACAACGAGTACTTTGAATAGATACAACTTGCTTATTAAAACAACATAATGAAAGAAAAAGGGAAATAAGCGTTTTTCTATTTATTTTAAAATATTGAATGTAGCCTATATTCTACAAAACGGATTGTTAGACCAATTGATGGTACAGCCTGGTCACTAACTTTCATTCAAAGAAGAAAATCACACCATTTGGTTGAGTAAAAAGCTCAGACTTACAGTGGTGAAGCGTCAGGGGACCCTAAGATACTGAGCATCACCGCGTGAAATATTAATCAAAGAACCTAAAATATTGTAGTGCTAATCTTGCAAGTGAGCGAAATACGTTTTGAATTCATTTTAAGTGATTTACTAAGATTGAATTCGGCTGGCCTCTGATTGCTTGAAAGCTAAAATGCTTCTAGCGTCTGTCACGAAATTGCAACGGGCAATGACGCATGCGCAGACGGTGAGGTTTCCCCTCCCCTCCTCACTCCTGCCCCAAAGGTTCCCGAGTGGCTTCGGCTAGCGTACGACTGAGTAAAGAGCAAGTTGTTCGTTTGTGCAGGAAAGCGCGAGGTTGTCAGTAATATGTTCGTCTTTGTCTCTCGTGTTCTCTTCTTGGACATGGGCACACACAGTGAAAATATTGCTAGCCTACTAATTCTTAATTAACTTATAAGGTGTATTCTTCCTTAATTATATTAAATATTATTTTGGTCTGAAATGTGTAAATTCACGAGTGATGATCTCATTGCCGATCGCGCATGAGAATTTTGCCATTGTATACAAGTAATTTGCTTTCAAGCGTCTCCTGGCATAAATCTGTTGTAGTGTTTGTTTCGATAACACAGATTCTAGATAACATTAAAGATCTTATCTTCAGTTGACTTTGTTAAGCATTCCCAAACGCGCCAGTTCCGCCACACCACTGCAGACTTCTAAAACATCTTTAGATTTTTTATATACAAATTTCCATAAACTAGACTCTTATACTACATTATCTTGATCCATTGAAAATGTGTGTGTTGTTTTCAGCCTTATTTCATAAGTAATTCATATTACTAAATATTTCCACTTGGTAATGATATACAATCTTGAGAGATTTATTATTGTTTATTGAAAGTTCAGAAAGTATATTGTTACTGGAAGTATTACTGATCGAACATTTAATGCAGATTTTACAAATTTAACTCACCTAAAGTTGTAAAAATGTAAATATTTTACCTTTTGTTGAATAGAGGAACGTATGGAAACCATGGTGAAAATCCCATGACGACAGGGGTGGGCATATTAAATCCGTCAATTCTGTACAGGTGACAATTGGATGACATTCGTAACTTCATTGCCACGTTGTCTTCCAATTCAAGTAGTCCCCGGTTGTCACGTTTGCACACTTGTTCGTCAAAATCCTTCTGGCCTTTGGAGTACTGAAAGCTGTATCCAAATTGCCCCCTAATAGGGGCATTTGAATGCTGAAACACGTAATTATTAATCACAAACCTCACATACAATTTATTCACGCATATAAAATCCCTTTTACTTTCTCTTAAACATACGTATATATGGAGTAATATACGCCGAATATAGAAAAGTTATATAATATTTAGGAAAACCGATTTCGAGATGTTAATGGAAATACACGTTTTGGGATCCACTAATAGCGAAATGTCTTGTTTTTTTCTAAACGTCCGTTTGTCTACCCATCTACCTGTCATGTGAACAACACTATCGTCTAAACTCTTCGTAGGATTTTGGCCAAAATCAATATTCCTCGGTCAATATGGCCTGGCACAAAGTCCTGCAATTTTGAAAAACATTCTTTAAGTTTCGGGATCACTTTATACGAAGCCACCTGGGACAATTTCAAATTTTTTCTTACAAATATTTCCGAATATTGTCTTTAAATTTCTTGTAAAAATAGTGATATACTCGTACAATCAAAGATGGGATAGGTGCGATTTTCTCTTTCTCCGCCTAGCACAACTACATTATTAAAGTTAGAAGGTTTTTCAAAATGAAATTTGTTTTTCAAAATTACTTCTTTAATTACAGTGATCTACAGCATTGAAAATGATTTCGCGCAATTTTGAGAAAAAAACGAGACTATTAAAAAAGGGAATTGTAAGAAAGACTGCATTTTTTCTTTAAACGTTGTATACGGTGTGTATTAAATGCACTGAATTACATGACAAATGCCCTTTGGATGTATACTTTTGATTTGTAAAATATTTCACAAATATTTTTTAAAAATATCTCTTATGTCGTTATTCTTTACAATGCAAGCCTTCACAAAAAAGCGTAAGGACATTTTAAATTTTCAAAAAAATGGCCACACATTTTTATTAAACTTTGTCCTCTGATAGGTATATGGTGGTTTTCATTTTCGTTAAAATACCTGAATTTCTGAAAATTGCAAAAGTTGCCATTTTGTGTCTTTCTACAACTACAATTTTCAAGAACACAATTATTTTCCTTAGTGAAATATGTTCATAAAAACCAATCTTTAAATACGGCCTTGCTGAATGTTTCAAAAACGAGTATTTTTACGTAACTGTACGTAAAATTGCGAAAACCTGTACAATTTTAAAATTTTAAAATATTTTTTCAAAATTGGATGAAAATATTTTATTTAATTTATTTCCACTTATGTAGTAAGGAAATATACAAATAGTGATGATAGTATTTTTTAGCGCAGTCTCTGTATTTTAGAAAATAACAAGAAATAAAAATCAAAATTGTAAATTTGGAATTCCCGCGCTTCGTTATCGTCCCGTCAGTTCGCAAAGTGGCAACACTGTGTTTGGAAATTCTGAGATTTATGTCATTGTTGCTGGTCGTGTTGACTGTAAAATGAAGATAATATCTCGTGAAAGGAAATATATTGATGGAAGATAATGCAGCGCGCCAGAAGTGAGGCGCCCTCTTGGCAGTGAGGCCTTGGTGCTTGCAACAAAATAAAACGTAAGTACCGCACTCCCCACAACCATAAAAGATGCTGGACGTGGTGTCCCTCTCACTTGCTTCAGGGTGATCTGTTTGCTATCATCATCGTGGCCATTTCTAAGAGGAGACCGTGACTCGGCTCGGTGTGGAGAGCCTTTCTGGGGCACTTATAGATTAATTAATTTAGATTGTATGTGTGCACGTATCCAGCCAACTACGATATTTAACGGGGCCGCTCACGCCTCGAAGGCGGCACATGATGGGGGCAAATTCGGACCATGATACAAAAAACATGTATTTGTTTTATTTTCGCCCAGTTGGCGCACATACTTGTCTCCTTAAGATAACATACCTCCCACATAATTCTCGTGTCCGAGTCCGAGAAAAAGAACATCCTGAACCCGGTCAACCTCATGCCTTCGATGTCGGTGAACAGCAAGCGTTCCCGCTGAACGGCTAGGTTGGAGTAGAGCGCGCTGGTGTAGGCGGCGGAGACGGCGATGGCCGCCAGCGAGGCCACAGCGAAAGCCACGCGCGCCGCATTCGTCGTCGGCAGCCTCTCCTGCCCTGTGCATCGACAGAGAAACTTCTATTGAGTGGTCGATTGACTGAGCGGTCGATTGACTGAGCGGTCGATTGACTGAGCGGTCGATTGACTGAGCGGTCGATTGACTGAGTGGTCGACTGTCTCCTTGATTAACTTATGGGGATTAACTGATTGGGATTGATTTATTGATTCATTCATTCCTTTATTTCCGGTCGTACCATTAGTCCTGGTATTGTTGCTCATCTTGTATTTCGGCAGGAAGGCGTTCCCCGTTAGAAACTAAGCTCCTGTGGCTAGTGTAACGTATTAGCCAGCATGCCTCATGGCATCTATTTGGGGACGCTTGGCAGGATTAGCCTTGCCACAGGAAGAAGGGTTTTTCCG